GCATTCCCTCAAATGCAGTCCAGTCGGCAGTCCTGGGAGGCTGCTGGGCAGCGCTGGTCTGAGAGGGGCCAGACTTGGGTTCACAGAAGACTTGGGCAGTAGTGACAGGTCCTACTAGCTTGCTGACTCAGGACCAAGAAGTGGTTAATCAGGTTCCCTGAGGCCTGCCTGTTTCTGTGCCGAGTCCCTGCAGCTCCTGCCAGGGGAGTTAGCTCCTGCACACAGGCCAGCCCTTCCGGTTCCACATTCGTTTCCTCTGGGTCATTCTGACCTGCCCGCTACCGGTAGGTTCTTCTTACATAGACCTTTGTGTACAGCGGGGTCTCCCGCTGGCCAGATGTCCCCTTAGTGACTAGAATTAGAGACCACATGTGTTCAGGAAACGTCGGGCTTGGACCTGGGAGACTCGAAACCTTCCACTGCTCTCCTGGGACTGGCAGCCCCTGGTAGTCCTGCGTTTAAGAGATGATGATGTCGATGTTTTGTCATTTGTATTCTGCTCGCCCCTTCTCTGATAAATGCTATGGGATCTTCTTCAAGCCTCTTTCAGAATACGCATTTGTCGTTCTAGGAGAATGTGTTTACCGGGCAATCAAAGATCTATACCTACATGAGCCCGAACAAATGCTCTGGAATACGTTCCCCCCTTCAGGAAGAGAACTCAGTTGCACATCACGAAGTCAAATGCCAGGGGAAGCCATTAGCCGGAATCTACAGGAAACGGGAAGGTAAGCCTCTGAAATGGCCCAGTTCTGACCACGGCCGGTTGGGCCGCAGAAGCCTCTCTCCTCCATAATGACACACATATGATACATTTTATGCAGCCTTTTAGCGCCCAAGTTCGAAAGGAACCATGTTCTGTCTTGCTGCTAAGAAACACAGGCAGCCTGTCCCAGGGGGTGCGCCCTGTTGGTCTAACAGGTTCTCCCGCTTTCACGGTAGTTGGCATGTCCTTCAAGCTTGATTGTCTTGCCAAGTTGCAAAAATAATGCACCTGATTTGCAGTTAAAGGGGCTCACAGGTGCCAGAAGTGCAGAAACTATGAGTCTAGGTTGTACAGACCACGCGCTCATAGTCCTAACTGTGTCATGTCAACACCGGGAACTGACTTCCTTCCCTTTTATGAGCTGGCCTTGACCTCATTTCTGAAGTTTCTTTCCACTCAAGTATTCAAAGCTACTCTCTAAAGCAGCATAATCTGCAATGAGCTTTGGAGTTAAAATACTAAACAAGAAAATACACAGTATTGAAAATTCTGTCTGGCCCTGCAAACAAGCTGAAACCAACCTCCTAGAAATCTCGCTCTAATCCAAACATCCCCTTTTCAAGCTGCGGTGGGGAGTGCGAGCTCTCCCCAGGTCCCCATGCTCCCTTCTAATGAAGCTCGCCTTAAAGAAGCAGAACTCGGGCTACCAGCTGCTCCGTACAAAGGAAGCCTTGTGTTCAGTACTGGAAAGTACCATAAGTGATGGGTTAGCCCAGCCTCTGGGGCCAGGTCTGAGAACCAGGAGGAGGAACCCGGGCTGGGAGCCAGCCCCAGCCCGATTCTCCCCTGTATACAGGGCGATACTGTTTTGTTGGTCTCGACATGACTTGGGTGCTAACTCTCGCTCTGCCACTTACGTGGAGGAAGCTTGGGCAGGTAGTTCCTCTTTTCTGAGCCTCACTTCTCACATCTGTGAAGTGGGAGAGAGGAGTCCTACCTTCCAGAGCTATTCTGAAGATGATGTAAAGCATGGATGCAAAAGGGCTTTGTGAAATGCTCTATACCGTCCGCCCTTGCTCTTCTGGACTGCGAGTGTCGCAGCCTGTTCCTGCCTTGGCAGCACTTAGGATAGCGCCCGCCACGCGGGGACTGGGGAGGGGGCTCTCTAAATGGCAGCCAGCCAGTCTCACATCCCTTCTGAAATGGGGCAAAATGTAAATGGTCCCAAACAGTGACGTGGCGCACAAGATAGCTTCTTTGGCTTATAGTGTTAGCAAATGGCAACGGTTATAATTTGGGGCCGGACGTGCTTTGGAGGAGACCCCGAGGGCCAGGCTCTTGTCCTTGATTCTCAACCTTTGCTCTGCCTGGATGCAGACTGAGGTGACCTCTGACCTTCACAGGCACCACGCCCTCCTAGGGTTGTGCCCCAGTTGCACTCGAGAAGGCGAGGGAGGGAGGGAGAACAGTTTGGATGGGTTTCTTCCATGTATTTATTTTCCTCTGTTTTCGAGCTATAATTTACGTATCATAAAGTTTACCATTTTAAAATGTACGATTCAGTGGTTTTTAGTATATTCACAGATAAGTTCCACCATCTCCAGTGTCTCATTCCAGAAGGTTTCATCACCCCCAAAAGAAAGCCAGTGCCCATTCCCAGTCACTCCACATTCCTTTCTTCCTCTAGCCCCAGGCAGCCCCTCATCTACATTCTGTCTCTATGGATTTGTCTATTCTGGACATTTCTTATAAAGGAAGTCATACAATACGTGGCCTTTCGTGTCTGGCCGCTGTCACTCAGCATCATGTTTTCAGAATTCATCTATGCTGTAGGCTGTGTCAGCCCTTCATTCTTTTCTGTGACTAAATAATATTCCACAGTGTGGATATACCACGTTTTATTTATCCATCCATCCACTGACAGATCTTTGAGTTGTTTCTACTTCTTTGGTTATTATGAATAAGCTGCTGCAGACGTTCATGTACAGGTTTTTACGTAGACATATGTTTTTAATTCTCTTAATAAATGCCTAAGAGTAGAATTGCCGGGTCAGATGGTAACTCTGTGTTTAATGTTTTGAAGAACTGCCAGACCCTTTTCCAAAGTGACTGCACCGTTTAAAAAAAAACGTTCACATTTTGTAAAGTGAATAGTTTGCCAACACTGGTGCCCCACAACCGCTTTCAGTAACAAATCATTTTCCACGTCCGTCACAACGTGTGACCAGAGGTTCTGCGTTGTGGCCTGCTCTCGTCTGCGAGCGCTGGCCCATTCGTTAGGAATGTAGCTTTTTTCCTGGGGTCGCAGCCCAGTTCCTGAAAGCAGTCGGTCAGGCACTCAAGCCAGCATTGCTGTCTGTGCTGCGTCCGCTTCAAGTCTGTCCCCGTCGAGATGCGGAAGGCCAGATGTGTTAATGAACTAGGTGGGAGGGATCCGATTTTCACAGTGTATACTATGTATCAGATCATCGTAGACATTATGTATCATAGACATTATATATCATAAGTAAACATTATATATCATACTGTTTTGTCAGTTATACCTTAGGAAAGCTAAAAAAAAAAAAAAAAGGAGAAGACAAAAATGCAGAAGACCAAAAGCTCTGCCCAGTGTCTGAGTCAGAGTAAAGCCAGATGCTTCTCCTGTGAGAGCCATTAGTGGACCCCGGGCTTACCAGGCCCACCCACTGCTGCGTGGCACACCTGTCATGCTGTCTTCTCTTAAAGCCTGTCTTAGAAAGCAGCCGACGGTCTGGAAACTGGGCGACAGGGCGTCTCGAATAAACCCCGGTCTTTCTCCACTCTCTGCCCACAGAGAAAAGGAACACTGGGAACGCGACACGAAGCGCCATGAAGTCCGAGGAGCTAAAGATCAAAGACGCCAGGAGAGGTCCCCTGGCACCTTTTCCAAACCAAAAACCCGAAGCAGCAGAACCTCCCAAAACTCCGACCTCGTCTTGTGATTCTCCCAATGCAGCCATCGCCAAGCAAGCCCTGAAAAAGCCCATCAAGGGCAAGCAGGCCCCTCGGAAAAAGTGAGCGCCTCCCTGAAGCTCCTAGTGCGGGCAGCTTGGTTTCTGTGCCCCCATCCCCCACCCCACGGAGCTCGCTAGGGTTGAACAGGCCACCCTCTCGGCCTCAGCCACACTAAGGCTCGGGTCCCTGCAGTCACCACCGGTGGCACCATTATTTGCCAGCATCTCAGTTCTGGCGTGGGTCCAGAGCACAGGAGCCACCCCCTCCCAAAGAGCAGGTGGCCTGTGTCTAACCCGCCCCCTGAGGTCCCATGGGCAGGTGAGCCTCCGAGACCACAGGCCGGGGTGGACACAGGTGTTCAGCGACAGCATTGCCGGGAACCGCCCCGCAGGAGCTGTGTGTCTCCTGGGTGTGAGCGTGGTTTCAGTGCTAATGCCTGTTTTCTCCTCTTTCCTCCCCGCCCCAGAGCTCAAGGAAAAACGCAACAGAACCGCAAACTCACCGATTTCTACCCTGTGCGAAGGAGCTCCAGGAAGAGCAAAGCTGAGCTGCAGGTAGAGGGTCGTAGTTTTAAGTGCAGCTCTTGAAGGGCAGGGCGGGCCAGGGGGCAGTGCTCGGCTCGCGGGACCTGAGCTTGCTTCGTGTCACCTTGGGGCTCAAGGTCACCACGTCTGTCTCTATGGATGAAAAAAAAAAGGGGCTAGATCAGGATGTCTCTGGGAAGGGGCTGTGTCGTCTGGAGCGTGTGGCGGGGAGTCAGGGTTACCCACGGGCAGCGTGTCCAGGACGCATTGGCAGGGCCAGTGGGGCCTGCGGCCGTGGGGAAGGCCGCGTGTTCTTTCAGAGGCTGGTCTGTCGGCTTTCCAGAAGTTCCTATGTTGTGTCTCAAGGTGGTAGAGGGCTGTGGCTTGGGAGCCACTTATTGGCCATGTGACCTAGAGCCAGCTCCTTGACTGCGCTGTTGCCCCAGCTGCCCTGTCTGTGAAGTGGGGTAGCGAGGACCTCGTGGGCGGTTGGGAGGGTTAAGCTCAGTGTACGTAGAATCCTTAGAACGTGCCTGGCACACAGTAGGCGCCATGGTTCCCTAGCAGCGTCGCTTCCCGAGGCTCCTCTCTGCCCATTCCCACCCAGCTGTGGCCTCTGGGCACATGGGGCAGATAGGAAGGCCAGGTGGCCGGTGCCGCCCCTGCCCGGAGTGCCGAGCTTGCAGTACCTGACGCCTGACCTGTGAGGTGTGGCGATTGCCTCTCTGCTGAGGGCACCGGGTATGGTCTGTTTCCCTCCACGCTCTACTCACGGGCATTGGACAGCCCCTCCGCGCCCCACTCCCACCCCAAAGCAACCTCGAGGCAAAGGGGCGGTGCTCAGGATGGCCCCCCACAGAGAGGTGGGGGACGCCTGGCTGCACAGTCTCCTTCGGCATTTTTTATGTGAAATCTGTAGACAGAGATACTATATCTATGATTCTCTCTCTCTCACTCACTCTTTTTTTCTTTGAATTGATGAGGCTTCGATAAAAAAACAAAAAACTAAGAGGTCCATTTCTTCCCCCAGAGAGCTCTGGCTTCATTTCCTTAGAAAGACGATGTCTTTTGGCCCAGAAGAAGCTGCTGTAAAATGTTTGCCTGCAGTGGGAGGCTGTGCTAGGTCACTCTGCAAGACCGCGCTGCAGAGGGCACGGCCGTGCCAGGCCCCAGGAGCAGACGCCTCCCGCCGCCGTCGGAGCCCAGCGTGCCCACACAGGGAGGGCCTCGGGGCCGCGGGGGCGGGGGCCGGCTGAGCTGGCCTTTTTAAAGAAAAACAAGGGCTTTTCTGTCTGGGGCAGCGAAGGCTGCAGTGGGACGTGATGCATGAGGTCTGCTGAGTCTCTCAGCAGACGAGCAGAAGGGAGCAGACACTCGCTTCACCGAAGCTCGGTCTGTGGCGCGAGCAAGCCGCCCTGTCTCTGGCCGAAGAGTCATACTGTGCCCCTCATGTTTGTGTTGGCTCTGCCGAGTAAAGGTGGTGGCTGGCCAGGCAGCGGGCCTGGGTGGCGAGGCTGTGGCTGGCCAGGGTGGTGTCTTCTCTTGTCAGTGCAGGTAAAGCTTGAGGGCCGGCCAGATGGGCCTTATCCTATGGGCGAGGTCAGTCCTGACCTGCCTGCCCTTCTGGGCTGGGCAGCAGAAAGCAGGGCCCAGGCAGGCAGGGAATGAGGGGTGTGGCGGGCCAAGGGTGAAAGCGAAATTAAGAGCCTGGCGGATGTGTCATTGAGTTTGGAGAGTAGGCAGGACCACGGGCCGGGGGCCGAGGCCAGGAGGGTGGGAGCTGGGCCCTGGAGAGGTGCCCGGAAGCACCCTCATCCAGACCTTCCGTGCCTCCCACTCAGCTCACCCTGCTTCTGGGCCCCCTGTGGGCTGCTGCCGGCCTTCTCTCTAGGAAGCCTCGAGCTGGTCGTTTCGTGCCTCAAAGTGCGGAGCTGGAATGAAACAGCCTCTGGCTCTGCATTCGGGGCATCCACCCGGGTCCCGGCTTTCCTCACCTCACCCCAGTGCCATCGTGTGCACTCACGGCAGGAAAACCCCCAGTCGCCTGCCCCAGTTCTACGATCACTGCCATTGCATAGCCCACTGTACTCACTAATCCCTGCATGTTGTCGCTCATGATTCAGCACGGTGGCTCTGTGTGTGTGTGTGTGTGAGTGTGAGAGACAGAGACAGAGACAGTGACAGTCATTTTTTGCTTTGATGACTTACTATGTGCCAGGCACTGTTCTAGGCCAAGAGATTCCTCAAGAAACGTGAGGCCCCTCTGCTCATGGAGAGCGATTAACATTTTCAAAAAAGAAGGCAACCAGAAAGCAAGATGATTCCGGATAGCATTCTGACGTTAGTTTAATGAAACCCAGTCGCTTGGTGGCGTGGCTAGGCCAAGGCTGCTTCAGTCCAGTAGTCAGGGACGCTTCTCCGAGGGAGGCGCCCTTGGATCAGAGATTAGAAGGAAAGGAGCAAGCCAGGCAGACGGGGTGGGGGAGGGTAATCCAGGCCTGGGGAACAGCAAATGCAAAGGCCCGGAGGCAGGGACAAGGTGGCCTAGGAAGGGTGATGGTGATGGTGGCAGATGAGGCTAGAGTGGCCAGGCCGGGACCCCGCAGACCTCAGAGGCCATCGGAAGTGGATTTTATCCCGGTAGCCATGAGAAGCTACTGAAAGGCGTTTTGTCTTTTAATAAACTGTTTTGGAATAATTTTAGATTTACAGAGGGGTTGCAACGACAGCGCAGGATGTCCCCACGGACCCTTCCTCAGTTTCCACCATCACCAACATCTTATGGTGCCCTGGTGCATTTATCACACTAGAGAACTGACGTTGGTACATTGCTGGCAAATAAGCTTACGGGAAATGGCGAGATCTCAGTTTTAAGAGACCCCCTGGATGCCGAGTGGAGAACAGAGCTTGGGCGGCGGGGTCAGTGGGAGCCAGGAGGGCAGTGCGGCTGCTGCCAAGGGCGTCTGGCCAAGGGCGGGCGGCAGGAGCGGGCGGGCTGGGGACCGTCTGGCGGGGGCGGGGTCTTCTGTGGCACCCATAAACCCCTCCTGAGGTTGCAGAGACCGGGCCTTGCTCACCACCGTGTCCCCAGCACACACTGCAGATGTTCAGTAAACACATGCGGACTGAGCGACCGGTAAGGTCCCACGTGGGCTGCAGGCTGCGCCGCTGGCCGAGGCGGAGTCCCGGGCCCGGGCTCTGCGCAGGCGCTCTGGGCTCGGCCGTGGGTGGAGGGCTCTGCCCACCGCCCTGCTCCTCCGTGCGCTGTCGGGTTCAGCGGGTCAGGGCTTCTGGTCTGTCTGTGCATAGCTCCCTCCGGCGCCCCGTGCTCCGACAGAAGTGGGACCAGGGGCGGGGACGGAGGTGGTGGCAGGAGGGGGCGGTCCTGAAGCGCACGGAGGGCCGAGCGCATCCACTCCTCTTCTGCCTCTCTGTTTAGTGTTGGCTCCTTGGGGTGCGAGGCCCTCAATGCCCCAACAGGCACGGCCTCCAGGCAGCCCTAGCTAAGCTTGCATGAAGTCAGAGTCCTGATTGTAGACGTCGGCGACTTAAATATTTTTAAAAAACACTGCATGGGCCACACAGGAGATAACCACAGCCCAATCTGTCCCTGGGCCACCGCGGTGTGGCCCCTGGTCCATTCGAGAGATGGGCGATGAGGAAGGACGGGAGGTTTGGGGTCTTGGGTGTCCTTGGGGACTGGCGTTATGAAGGCCAGCTGCGGGTGACCCTGTGGCGTGGCCTCGCAGGGTCCAGAGGGCCTGGGAGAGAACGCTGATGTGCTTCCCGTTTTGTCTTCTCAGTCTGAAGAAAGGAAAAGAATAGACGAGTTGATTGAAAGTGGGAAGGAAGAAGGAATGAAGGTAAGGCCAGCAGGGCCCCGTGTGGAGGCCACGGCCACAAGGTCAGAACGTGCTGCCGTGACCCTTGGGGGTCGCTGACTCGTCAGGCCGTTAGGCCGTCGCGGGGCGACGTTCTAAAGCTGTTGTTACGGGAGCGTCTCACGAAGGAAACATAAATGGGCTCATGTGAAACGTCATCCTGACAAAGATTTAATTGCAGTAGAATCCATAAGACATAAAATTTACGATTTTAGGCATTTTACGGTGTGCAGTTAAGTGGCATCGAGTCCATTTACAATGCTGCACAACTACCATGCCTGCCTAGTTCCAGAACTTTCTCACCCTCCCAAACAGAAACCCCCTTCTTGTGAGCAGTCACTCCCCACTCCCCCAACCCCAACCCCTGGCACCCACCAGCCTGCTTGTCTCTGGATTGGCCTGGTTCTGGACGGTTCATACAGATGGGATCATGGACTGGGTGGCCTGTGGTACCTGGCTTTCACTTAGCATTATTATTTTAATTTAATTTATTATTATTATTATTATTATTTTAGGTGAGGCAACCCTCGGTTAACCTCACAGATTACAAGGACCTTGTCAGCTTACAACCCTTTATTTTAATTTTTTACACCTATGATACCTGGTTTACCTAGGTGGTCTCCCATCCAAGTATTAACCAGGCCCGACCCTACTTAGCTTCTGAGATCAGACGGGATTGGGCTTATTCAGGGTGGCGTGGCCGTAGACCTAGGAAAACTTTTAAAAGGAGAAACTAATCAATGTTTCCTAAGCTCTCTTCCTGGGAAGTGGCACTGAGTCCGTGCTACTCCACTTCCTGGCCTCGTGGCCTTAGATATGGCTCTGCCTCTCTGAGCCTCAGTTTTCTCACCTGCAAAATGAGGTGACACCCACCTCGCAGGTCTCTCATGAGGATCCAGTGTAGCAATCAATGCCTTGCCGATGGGCGCAAGGGCACTTTTTGGGGCGATAGATCCTGACGATAGTTGTACAGCTGTGTTCACATCATCCTCATTGAAGTGCACACGTAAAACGAGAGGATTCTAAGGCGTCCCGCAGGAAAGCCGTCCAGAGTAGTGCGAGCCCTAGGCACCCTGGAAGCCCGCCGTGCACTGTCGTATCCGTTGCTGTTAGGAACCAACCTTCTCTCTCGTCACCTCCCAACAGATTGACCTCATCGATGGCAAAGGCAGGGGCGTGATCGCCACCAAGCAGTTCTCCCGGGGCGAGTTTGTGGTGGAATACCACGGGGACCTCATCGAGATCACCGACGCCAAGAAGCGGGAGGCTCTGTACGCGCAGGACCCCTCCACCGGCTGCTACATGTACTATTTTCAGTATCTGAGCAAAACCTACTGGTGAGTTCACTAGTGATGGGCATGGCAGAGGCCACAGGGCCAGGGGCGCAGAGAGCATCCGAGTCTCTATTGTTTCAGCTTCCTGTTTAGTTCTTGCTGCCATTTTTCAAAGCTGTCAAGCAGCTCTCCCCCTTCCCATTTTTTATATTTGGAGTTGGAGCTGCTCCGGATGCCCCGTCTTCAACTAGTTATGTGAACACCACTGCTGAGGCTCACCTGGCCCCCTACCCTCCCCCGGGGCGTTTGGCCAGAGCAGGTCCGGAAATCACAGGCTGCTTTTTTCTCCAGATGGCCAGCGCAGTTCACTGTTTTATTTTTTAAACAGACTTTATTTTTTAGAACAAGTTTAGGTTCCCAGCAAAACGCGCGGCAGGTAGAGTTCCCGTGTGCTCCCTGCCCCCCACCACGCACAGCCTCCCCCCACTACCCGCCCACTTGTCCTTTATCCATTTATTTATCGTGGAGAACCCTCCAGTTGCCTCACATGCCTGCACAAAGAGCCTTCTGCATCCCCATCTCAGACACCCCACCCGCTGCCTCTCTCGACTCTTAAAGGTATTTCTTTGAGTCGAATTGCTTTCCCAAAAACGATAAGTCGACATCGCACCGGAGTGGAGAGCAAGCGTGACTCTGGCCGGGTTCAAAAGCCTCTTTAGCAATCTAATAATCCTTTGTTGCTCCACCCTGCCACCCCGTCCCCGCCAGCGTGGATGCCACGAGGGAGACAAACCGCCTGGGGAGACTGATCAATCACAGTAAATGTGGGAACTGCCAGACCAAACTGCACGACATCGACGGCGTGCCTCACCTCATCCTCATCGCCTCCCGCGACATCGAGGCCGGGGAGGAGCTCCTGTACGACTACGGGGACCGCAGCCGGGCTTCCCTCGAGGCCTACCCCTGGCTGAAGCATTAACC